TTTTTTTCATTTTAACAGAGAGAGAATGACACAGGTAGACCGTGTAGATGCTGTGAACCCCCCTTTCCTGTCTGCAGGTACTTGGATCTGAGGGGCCTCGCTCACGGTGTGGGCCCTGCGATTTGGCCTGCCTCTTACGGCCCTGCTGAAAGAGACGAAGCCTATAAGAGCTTCAGCTTGTCAGGTTGGGCCGGACGCAGTGGCCATGATGCTCCAATGATAGCGCTGGACGCCTTGCTGGGCGCAGGTTCAGACTGGGAAGAGCTGATGAGCAGGGCCGCCTTCCATGGAGGTCAGAGGTCTCACTGGTGTAATGTAATATAAGCTGTGAGTGAAGTCTTGCACTAAATGTAAAACCTTTACCTAAAATATGTGTTTAATTATACTAACACAAACTCAGCTTTAGTTTGAAGTCTGCTTTTTCTTTTTGACAATCTTTGGTTTAGTTTGATAGTGACTCCAGTAACCATCATGTTTATATATTAGCCAGCATTCCTCTCGTTTCAAACATTTACACACAGTCAGTCAGAAAAAGGTGTTGTTTTTTTAAGCAATGGATTATTAAATCCCTGTACAACGTAAGTTATTAAACTAACAGCACCACTTGAGATGCACTTTCACCTAATTGCTAAATAATGTAACTACAGGGAACTATGAAGAAGGTATTTGGTGTATCCACTGACAGAGAAAGAAGACGAGGAGACATGATGGAGACAAATTGAGGGAATTGTGGCTGAGATGACAGAAAGTGGATAAAAGATGTTGTATTTGTAGCTGCCAGGCAGAGGAAAGGAGGCAGACCTCAGGGTTCATGGAAGTAGTGGAGGAGGACCTGCAGAGGGATGGTGTAACAGAAGGGTGCTGATCAGCTGTGGTGACCCCTAAAGAGAGCAGCTGAAGGAACAATGTAACCTTTCGTACAACTTCAAAGAAATCTTGTAAATTCCCTGGAAACTTCTCTCCCATGTAAACTGAGTTCGGCTGGTTGTTGCTTAAGCAGTTTGTGTCTCAAAGTGCAGATAATTAGAAACTAATGTGATTTCTGAACTCAGGAATGCAAATGTGTTACATTAGAAACAATTGTACTGCAATTGCACCCAAAACTGGTCCCTGTTTTAAGGAAAGTAGCAACTTTGTGAACATGGAACAAGACTTAAGAAGTAAATCAGACATTAAACGGACAGCTTGATGTCAGCTGATAAAGTAAGGCATGAAGATTAAGCTGCCAGTTGTTTGACTTCTCAATAATTATGCAACAAGGTGTGAGACAAACTGTGTGAACGAAAAAAAATCTGGTGTCTTTGTTTAGTAAGAGAAAAAACAAACCAGAAGTACACCCTGGACAGGATCACCAATTAACCCAACCTCAGTTTTCTTTGGATTGTGGGAGAGAACCTGTGAACCCCACACAGAAAGGCCTTGGCCAAATGGTGGGTTTGAACTTGGGACCTTCTGTCTCTGAGGCAACAATATTAATCCCCACCAAAGAAGCCAGTCTAGTGATAGATGGATGGTTATTATTTATAATAATATTTTAAAAATATCATTAGTCACTTTTAAGATGGCCACAAAGATAAATGATAAATGTCAGTGATGCATTATCACGCACACTAACTGCTCACTCTGCTCTCATCTCTCTTGTCCAGGTGACAGCGACAGCACCGCAGTGATTGCGTGCTGCTGTTGGGGTCTCCTCTACGGATTGCAGGGGGTCCCCGAAGGCAACTACGCCAACCTGGAGTACCGGGAGCGACTGGAGCGCAGCGCCGAGCAGCTCTACGCGCTGTCACACTGAGGAAGGTCGCTGCAACCCCGCCGTGCTGACAGAGCGTGTCCCGGCCCGCTGCGGCAAGGGGGAAACTGGGCCACGCGCACTGACACACTGAAGTAGAGCTAGCTGGTGTGCTCAGTAGTACATTGATTTAGAGAGCTGTCACTGAGCCACAGTATGTTGTCATAGTCGCCTAAAGGGGAAGCAGAAGCAGAGTGTCCTACTAACCTAGAGTCCTCTCTGCCAGAACAAGGACAGAGTACCTCGTGATGTTGGCACAGAGGCTAGCGTATAAGCAGGGGTCCCTCTAGTGACCGTTTTAAATCAACATATTTGCTCCTGTGAGCAGAACGAATCCAAGCTAATGAGAATATGAAATGAATGAGCAGCATCCTCTGGGAGGTAATTTGCTTTGTTTTGTTCAACCTGACATAATGACAAACGCTCCAGCCTCAAATTAAATGTGCTTTTGCTAAAGGATAATGAAAAATAAATTGGTGTGCCTCATGGTCGTTAACTCCTGAAGTGAGAAGGCAAACTAATGCTCCAGACAAAAACATAATTAACAATACAATAAATTAAACGCTTTGTAGTTGAGTTGAAAACTTTATTTTTTGGTCATTGTTTATTTTTAAATTTTTTTTGTCTTGTCCATTTTTTTGTTTTTTAATTAGATTTTCCTACAAGGGAAAAAGAAGGGGAAAGGGGATGTTTGTAACTACTGGATAGAGTTTAAAAAAAATTTGCTAAAAGTCCTCATGTCTTCAAATCCCTCCTTTCCTGTATTCATGAGAAACAGTCCGTTTCTCATATGTGTCGTAGTACAAGGCTAAAAAACAATTCTGGAAGATAAAGAGTCTGCTGCTGTTTTCCCTCCGCGCCTGGTCCTCCCAGTAAGGTGCCTCGTGTCTCTGAATAGGGTAAATAAAAAGTCGAGGAGAAGAGCGGGACAGCACCAGGGATCAGGCGCTGCTGCCGTCCTGTCACCTTCATCGTTAGCATTAAAAAGCTCCTCCTAGTGCCGCACGGACACAGAGGTTTGTACTGAAGAAGCGTAAGGTGCTGCGAGGTTTCTGATTTCTTCTCTGCTCCGTGTGATCCTGTCAGTTTCTTTGTTTTAAATGAGTCGCGTTCACTCTGGGCCTCTCATCCAGCAGACGGGGATTGGGAGAGGGGGAGAACAATCTGGGAGGTTGCAGAGAGGCTTTAGTTTCCAGGCGGATGGAAGGAAGCGGGGTGTGGCTGGACCTGCATCGCTGTGGGAGGTAAACAAAAATAAAACAGAGCCTGTAAAGCCCGCGCTTCAAACGACCCCTTTGTTTGACCCATAAAAGGGAAATCTGAGGGAGGGGTTGTGTGATACCTTGCTGGATGTAGAAGTGTTGGTGTGCTCCTTGCTGAGGTCCGTGTTGGGGGTGCTGGGGCACTGCACCAGGGCCCTGCTGAGGCTGCAACATTACTATTTGGGGCTGACCATGGCTCCCCGAATGGTGGGGACCCGAAATGGCTCCTTGAACATGAGCCTGGGGGACAACAAGATCAGTTGACATGGTTTAGATCAGAAGTTAAAACACCACCTGCTGAGAAAAGGGGGAGAACAGGAAAATGGAGCACATACCTGTGCTATCTGTCCAAGGGGGTAGGTGGGTGGGATGCCCTGGTGACCATGGATGCTGTACCCCGGAATGGAGTAAGAACCCTGTGGAGACGTGTGGCCAGGCGGCATGTTGGGTGGGGTGGGTGCCGACAAGGGGCCTGAGTGGTACAAGGACTGGGGCTGTGGGCCCGACTGGGCGTTCTGAAAAGCACATCAAGGTGTGAAAATTCATCAAGGGCCATAAAAATAAAGCTGTAGAGAAGGAAAAGGTGCACATGTGCCTTTTCCAAAAGTGAGATTAGAACAAGTGCCATGCTTTTCAGCTTATTATTATTATTATTATTATTAAGTCAACATATCTAAATAGATCACCAAAAATCAACCTGATAGTGCAAGCTGCTTAATTTCAGAATTCATAGTCTAAGGAGCTTAAAAAGAAAAAGCATCTGGAGTTCTTTAAGTTGCTTGAAGACGTTTACCTCTCATCTGAGAAGCTTCTGCAGTTTTAGGGTCAAATGATGGAGAGTCCCAGATTTAACCCCTGTGGGAGTGTCCTCCCAAGAGGGACAATGGATCCCCTATTGATCCTCTAACTAATCACACGAGCCAATGTGTGAAAAATGGTGTAGGTCACAATCAGCCAAGGTTTTGGATGAGCTCACTGTGAAACCTAGCCCCACCGTATCATGTGATCAAATGGCCCAGGATGTGAGTGGGCGCTAAGGTGTCTGCCATCTATTATCCAAAACTGGATTACAGATGGCAGACTCTGTTCAAAGATGGTTGTTCACGGCAACTTAAAGAAGTCCAGACACTTTTCTTCCCAAGCGCCTTAGACAACGATGACCTGGATGATTGAGAACCTTCACAGATATAATTGGAATGAATTCTGAACATATTTCACACAATCCAGTCTGAAAATGTAAGGTGTGTCGAAGCTGTTGACATAAAGCAGCAATGAGCAGCCCACACTGCACAGACCAGGTGGACGGTCCCTTCTCCTTTTCGGGGGCGTCCTACCTGTCCAGGGCTAGGTGCAGTGTGCTGGGGTGGGGGCTGATTGCCTGTTGGTGTACTGGAGGGCTGAGGCTGATGAACTGCGCCTGTGTGATGGGAGAATGACTGTGGAGCTACAGAGGAAGAGAATTCACGTCAGGGTCGACTCTGTATCTACAAATCAATCGATTCGGGTCACTTGGATATTTTCTCGTTCACATCCATCTCCACTCACCGTAGATGCCCTGCTGTGGGCCTTGAGGTCCATCTCCCTGTGCAGAGAACTGGGGCCCTCCTGGTGGACCGAGGGCTTGTGGGTGGGGACCCCCACCTTGACCTATCATCCTGGCTCCACCTTGCAGCATTGAGTACATGGGCTTTTGAGGATGGAGAAAAGAAAGGAAAAAGGTGTTATTCTGCTGAATGAGAAATAATGTAAAACCCCGACTACAGAATGTGTTTGGAGGGCAGACGTGCTACCTGTCCAGGGTAGGGTGTCATGGCCTGGATGACCTGCTGCTGGCCATACTGCTGAGGGTTGTACTGAAGGTAGGACTGGGGGTAAGGGGACGCTACCAGCGGGGCCCCAGCAGCTGATGCAGCTTGCAGCATGGGGGGTGCTGAAGAACCATGGTCAGAGCGCTGAGCCACAATCGAGCCTAATGAGAGGAGCCAATCATCAAGAGAACAGAAACATGGAGGACAAAAACACCATCTTTCCCGTTCCTCACTGCAGATTCCAGAGTTCAGTCGTCTCTGATTTAAGCGTTTCTGCAAGTTTAAAGCATGACGGCTCTGTGTTTCACAGCAGATCACAACTCAAGGTTAACATTGAGGTAACAGTCAGCACTTTCTCTGGAGCCGAAAGTCAAGCCTGTGACAAGAGCTGACAGGAAATTCATTTTAAATATGTGGGAAACAATATAAAAAGCACACGCTGCATTTACCTTTTGCTCTGGGGTATTTTCCCTGGCCCACTGTAGACATGGTGTACTGATACATTTGTGGGGGCTGAAAGACAAAAAGATCAACAGGTGAGCACAAGAACTGTGGCTTTAATGTGAAAAGAAAAACTGCAAACAGTATCCGATTGCAGTTCCACGTGAATATTTAGCATTTTATTGGCATGTTTCAAATGCCAGCAAGATATTTGTAGAAGGTGTTAAGCACGACATTTAGAGAAAGACGCCTTAAGTGACCATGTTTATTTATTTTTGGCTTGCGTACCGGCACAGAGTGGATCTGTGAGATGTAGGAGGAGAGGTAGGGTTGGGGGTTGTAGAGCGGCCCCTGTCCTCCTGGATGCTGCAGCACCACGGGGCTCTGAGGAGTTGGCCGAGGTGGGGTGGGCGCAGTGTTGGGCTTCGTCTGTCAGAAACACATCACGGGTAAATAAATATAGATTCAATATATGAAATAATATCTTAATTTCTGGGTGTGTTTTTTAAGTATTAATGACTTAACAGATCCAAGTGTCTTACCATAGGCATCTGAGGTTTGATAGGATTGAACTCTTTAGCATTTGGGTTTAAGGTTGATTTCTTTACTTGGCTGCAAAAGAGAAAATAGTTGTTATAAATTATGATGAGTGCAATAAACTGAGTTAAAAAAAAAAAATCACAGAGTTCACAGTCAGAAATCTTTAGTCCTTTTATTTAAACTCACTCTGCTACGCCTTCTGTCCTCTCCGCTGCCTCGGACCTGACCTCCTCACTTCCTGGGGTCCTGGCAGGCTGAGGGGTGGCTGGGGACTGCCTGTCTGAGAGGGGTGCCGTGGCGGCAGCTGTTGTGGTGCCCAGTGTAGCTGCAGTGTCCTTGGAGGGGTCCTCGGAGACGGCTGGCAAAGGCTGGGTCTGGGAAGGACTGGGAGCTGCAGGCTGAGGTTTAGACTCTGATGGAGGATGAGCGTCTGATGGCGCGGGGTTGGCTGCGCTGGGCTGGCTGACCTCGCTTACAGCAGGAGGGGTTGTCCCTGCTGCAGGAGAACTGGGAGAGCTGGAGTTAGCTCCGCTGGGTGGGAGCTGGAAGATAAAAAGGAGTCGAGGGATAAGCAGTTGGTCTGTAAAAGCAAAATTGTTTGTTTCATCCAACAAATCAAATAATTAATTTACTATCAGACATGACAGAAAAGCCTCACAACTGAGGAGCCTGTTATAACTACTGAGGTTTAATTTAAGTTCACAAGAATATAAAATGTGTTGATTAGCAATCCCGCTATAATAGGTCATAATAGTATCCAAATGAGGAGCACTGTTGCTAAGAAAAGGTGGAAAAGGAGACTGTGAAACACAAGAATCTTGAGTCCAATCCAACAATGTGCACAGAAACAGAGTCATAACACATTAATCTGAGGCTTTGCAGCAGCCTGATGTCATAATCAACTTTCAGCTCAGTCACATTTAATAACAATCGAGTATTGTAATCTTATGTGCCTTTTATTTTAGACATGTACTGCCTGTGAATTGCTGGGCTGACACCAATGTTGTAAAATAATTTAATACTGATCATTGTTTCCTTTTTACTTTGTTACTGTGGCAGTTCAATCGAATAAAAGCTTTTACTGGTCAGTGACACTGTAAAGACCGAGATGGATGACTAGCATTGAGCGTCATCTGCTAAAGTTGATCATCACAGCATGATTAAGATGGGAGTGATGTTGGATGGAGGTCTGACATCACTGATGTCAGCACGCAGCCTTGTGATTGGTGACGGATTTTCTCATTTCACACATCGCTGAAACACTCTTACCCTGAACTCTTTGCCAAATTTTCGCAGCTCCTCAATGTGGGACCTCTGCTGAACCGACGGCGCTGGTGGAAGAGAAAAGAGTTTTGAGAACTTCAAACAACAACACAAAGGGTGCGTAACTAGGCAAAAAGCTCACTTCCAGCGTTTAGCCAGCACCAAACTTAAATACCTTTACTCGTCTTGCTTTCCTCTGTTGTGCTCGGGCTCTCGCCGGAGCGTTCCTTTGCAGCTACACCGAGGATCTCATTCACTGTGAAAACGGCACAATAATCCAGTTAGTTGCAGAATTTTTAATTCCAAGCTGATGCATACTGTTAAGAGCCTCGTGCTTTAACTTTCGTTTTAAAATTGTTCTATGAACACAAACATTAGGAGAGACTGTACCATCTACAGGGAAGAGAGGGGCGGGGCCTGATGTCTTCTGAGCAGGCAGCGAGACAGAAGATGTGTCCAAGTAAGGTGTGTCCTGGGAAGAGCCTGATTTAGGGGAACGAGTAGCTGGAAGAAAATTGAAAGTGAAGTTAGTTTGATTGAATTTCATAATTAACATGGGGGGTGACCAGAACGTCACTGTACCTGTGGACTGAGCGTGAGAGTTCTGAGTGCGGCTTGTCCGGCTTGACTGTGGAGGTCTTTGGGCTTTAGGAGAGGTCCTTGCAGCAACTGAAAGCACAGAAACATCTGCTTTAGCGACAGGCATAGATGCTACAGCTGTGAAGTCGATCGTGATAAAAGTTCACACACTCACCTCCATTAACTGGTCTGCTAGCGTCGGACAGCGAGTGCGGGAGTGAGTGGGAATGAGGAACCGTGTGTCCGTGTGGAGCGGGCGGGCTGGCTGGGGACGGGACAGTTGAAGCGGAAGCTGAACTGGATGATGGGCCGCCAGGTGAAGCAGGCGTGTAGGGGCTGGCTGGGCCGGAGCCTGGACTCGGGCTGGCGTTTCCTTGTGGGTGGTGAGGGGCGTAGGCACCGACACGACCCGACAGAGGGCTACTTCTCTCTGAGGGGGTGACACCGGGCTGGGGCCCAGCTGCAGAGGGCAGGGGTGGTTTTGGGGACGAGGAAGATGGAGGGTTGGAGCGGTAACCTCCACTCAGGCGATTGTGAGATGGAGGCCCGCCAGAGCCTCTTTCAGCTCGTTCCCGGTTCATCTCTCTTTGACGCTGAGGTAATGGAATGTACTTGCCCTCCCTGGTGGAGAAAAGAGGGGAGCAAACGCATTTCAAACTTTACTCTTTAGCTTTAAATTGGAACCCCCCCACAAAAAGAGGGGGAAAAAAGTGAGTGAACACCTAAAATAAGTACAACCCTTATATCTATGTTCCTGACAAGCATTTCAGAATAAACCTCCTCTCACCTGTTGCTGGCTCCTGGACTGTCTCTACCCCTTTCCCGCTCTTTGTCACGTGGGCTCTCACGGCCCCTCTCTCGATCGTTGCCGTCCCGCGCCACGGCGCTGAACTTGTCCTCCTCGGTTCTGCCCTCATCATTTTCCAGGTTGACGCGACTGCGGTACTGGGGGCTCGACTCAATCTCTTGGGCCAGGCGGGCAGCGCGTGCCTCCCTCTGCCGATAGTTCTCAGAGTTGCCCCTCTCCAGCGGTACACTGGGCGGTGGGAGAAATAAAAACTGACTTAATCTGCATGTTTGTGTCAGATGTGTGTCCTACAGTAAAAATACTGATACTTATAACCTTACTGACTAGTTAAGGGAATGTTTTTGGCGTATTTCACAAACTGCTGCAGTAACTCACGTGTACATTGAGAGGCTGGAATCATACGTTGATGTGACACCATATTTGACTTCATTGTAACGAAACATCTCGTTGGCATCCCAGCCGTTAGACTGGAGACAAAAAAAAGGGAGATTAATGGGCTAGTAAAGGAATCAACGCAAGAGTTAACAATAAGTAACAGTCTGTATTCACAGAAACTTGACAGAGTATGAAACTTACTGTATCAGTTTCCAAATCGTAACTCTCTCCGTTGCTGTCACCTCCGTCCCATCTCTGCAAAACCTTCTCTTTATGTTCTCCATTGATGCGGCTGGAGCTGATGGCTGTGTCTGTGAAGGTGTCTGAAAAATCAAACGCAAGAAGACGTCAAAACAAGGTGGATAAATCTGAAATAGTTTCCCCATTACATCTGCAGCCATTCAAACTGAATGAAGAAGCGCCACGTTTACATTCTTTTAACCAGATTGCAGAAACCCAGAGCCTGCCCTGACTTGACCCTCGGCACACGTGCATTTTCATACCTCTGGTGGCGTAATTGAGGTCGACGTCTCTGCAGATCATCGTGACCAGGTCTGAGGGGCTGAAGATCATGGTGTCGGTGATGTCCTCCCTCCGTGGCGGAGCTGATGTTGAGCCTTCCTCCTCATTGCGTTTGTGTACAGCATCCACAGCCAACTCGCACTAAGGACATTGAGAAAGCACTCAGCGCTCAGCAAGTATTAAACAACCACAGAAAAGATGACCATCACTCTGACAGGATTATTTGCACTGCCCGAATAAGGCGGCAAACTGATGTGCATGCCTGTGTGACCTGAGCATCTTACCTTAGAACTGAGAGTCTTAAATATGCCCTCAAATGCACTGCCATTCTTCACTTTTATGTCACATGTGGATCCCTGAGAGAGACAAGACAGTCTTTAAAAACTATAGCTAACCAGAGAAGTGTTTATATCAGTATTAAATCAATAACTGCTATATTATTTGTGGAAAAACTGCATAAAAAAGTGAAACAAATTTAACCAGTGTACAGATCCCACCATGAAATAAAGAGTGCCTTTACAGTAGGCAAGTTTACCTCTAAGACTATTGTTTACAAAATAAATAATAATAATAATAATAATAATAACATGGTCTGAAGAAGACAACAACCAGCCAAATGACTCACCACAACAGCTGTGAGGAAATGAAGCATTCTGGCATTGTTATAGACACCCTCAAACACCTACACATGGGGAAACAAGGATTTTCAAAACAAAGCTTTACAAAGACGCAATATATTGAAATTAACGCGGGCTGACGCTGACAAACTAGAACAGAGTTAACCATTAACCCTCAGAGGCCCTTCGCACCAAGAAGTGCTTATTCCTGGTCTTAAGTTAATCCGTCATAACTTGGCTTTTTAAGTCCGACCCGGCAGCTATGCCGTTACATCATCAGCTTAAACCGTCTTCTGACTATGACCGTGTGTAAATCCTGCAATTAGTCCAGAGCAGGTAAGGTAAAAATCTTTCTGCACAGGTTACGCTAAAGGTGACGTCCCGTGCCATATAACAGACTTTTTGTTTTTACACGTGGTGGAGAGAAGAAATCATAAATTACTCAAGACGTGTCACTGGATTTAAAGTTAGTGTCGAACCGCGACTCAACATCTGGCCACCTCGGCTACTTTACACGACGAACAATCCACGAGGCAAGGGTAAAACCTCTTTTCAAATGCCTCAAAAACGCCAACGTTTATATTGATTTCAATATCTTTCCACTTTTAGAAGCTGCCAGTGTCTAAACAATGACTTGTTCCCTGGTTGCGTTTTTCAAAAAATTAAATCTGTCCTTGGTGTGTTCTTGCGCTGACTGGACAGCTTGACTCTTTAATTTCACTCTTACTCAACTACCTTTACTTTCACTTTTGATCCTTTACATCTGCCGTATCAGATATTAACCAACCTCCACAGTCTTGTGTACAATCACATAACCGCACACGCAGTTTTAACCCCAATCTGATGACTGGTCATAACAGAGTAACTTTGTGGATAGGATCAGGTATAGTAAAGACCAGCTAATGCAATCAGCCACAGCTGAGTGAAGAGCAGCTGTAGATAAACCTTTCAATGGCCCTTTTACAGAGGAGGACTTTATCAAACACAGGTCATACTCATATCTGACTCCACAGGCAAAGGGCTTAATACATTGACCTATAAAATGGGTTTTACACCAGCGATGCTTCTAAATGAGTAAAATTTATTAATTATTATAAAAATTTACCCAGTATCGCCATATATTTTCCCTCCCAAGAATATTTTAAAAATGTAGTGTGTATTTGCAGTTTTGTGGATTGGGATACTTACAGGAGATGACTGGAATGATGGCTTTGCAGAAGATCGATTCCTGAAAAACAAAACAGAAACGTTTCGCTGTTCAGAAGGAAAAGAACTTGTTTAAGTCTGAGGAGTCAGTGTCACAGTCCACATCACACACTAGAAAAATTGGTTATTCGAGAAGCAGACAAAGTTACTCAGAGTGGCAGGACAAGTTCTTATGTCACTCCTGCTCACCAGAAAAGCTCCACAGTTAATTTATTCTCAATCCACGCACTCTAACTGTGTGACTTAAAGGAAAAACACTGGCATCCGAACATAGATATTCTTTAAAGAAATAATATTTGTTTACAGATTAATCCCCCCCCCCCCCAATCTGTCCCATCCCCCTTCACCTCACTGCAGGTATGTCTGGCTCTAGAGCTTCAAGTTTCTCCCCAGTGTTTATTACCACACTGTTTGTTGATTCCCCTGCCCTCTCCCTTTTCCCCTCACCCCAACCAGTTGAGGCAGATGGTCGACCCTCCCCGGGGCCTGGCTATGCAAGTTTCTGTAGGTTTCCTTCTGTTTAAAGAGATGTTTCTCCCAACTCTCACTGCCTGCTTGCTGAAAGGGTATTGATTGGTTTCTCTGTAATATTCGTAATCCAATTTGCCCTATAATAACTGCTGACATAAATAAAATATAATTAGACATAAATAACGTATGTCAGTTTAGTTTGAATTTTTTTTTTAATATGCGTCCTTAAGATAGAAAACAGGAAGTCTAAATCGAAAATTAAAAACACATTTCTGCCCAAAGACGTTTGATATACGACTGGAAAAGCCATGAAAGGGTGATGTAGACCAATCTGCATGCTAAACGTAACTCCACCGTGAATGGCCACTGTGGCTCGTATCAATGCTTGCTACATGCTCGGTTACAAAACAAAGACGGAGCTAACAAGACTTCAGTAAACGCGCTCATCTCACAAATCAGCAGCACACGCGACCTCGTACTGGTCATAACAACTGTGTAATGTTAACACAGCCATTGTATCAGGCGTTTTTATTAAGCATTTGGGACGTGAGGTTATACATGTAAACAGTTTCTCCCTCCCCTCTCTTTCGCCCCTTCTCAACCAAAAACAGGCCAAATAAACTTTGTATCACCTCTATGCTGATTTGCTACTCCTAGCTTTCGCCACTTCGCTGATTCGGTTGAGGTTCGATTCGAGCATGCTGATTGGTCCACATATGATGCCAATCTAAGAAGAGTGAATCCCATTGGCTTCTAGGTAAGCTCTATTTTTGGGGTTACGCCCACTGGGAAACAGCGCTTTAACCGGTAGGCCTTTGAGTCACGGGACAATCCCCGGACTGTCCTGAAAGAAAAATCCCAGCCCCCTTACCTTCCAGCCGGTGCCCTGTTGGCGTTGTTGATCCCGCTGACTGGAGAAGACATACCGGCAGGGCCCGATGTCCCGTTAGACGCCTTTCTCCCGCCGGATCCGGGTTGCTGTTGTTTCAGCATTGCGAAGCACAAGGCTTAGACAGTATCAAGTGTAAGCTCACTTAAAAACACCGATACCTCCTATGTGAAGTAGCTTTGAAAGCGAACTATCTTTAGCAGTTATCAGCTGCCCTAAGAAGCGCAGAGCCGGTGTAACCTCCCCGGCTATTGTGGCTAATCTTGCTAGGTGAACACCAGTCGCGTGTGGCCTAACATGTAAAAGCAAAAACACCTCGATAATATAACTAAATCGAACACATAACTTAACAAATTACCCCACGCTATCTACTCTACAACCACACAGGCTACGCCAAAGCAAGCGACAATTAAAAATTACACCAGCTTCCGTGTAATTATTTAGCCAAGGCTGGCTAGGTTAGCATTAGCTGTGATCCTCGGGCTCACTTCGGACGCTCTCCCTCCGGGGTTTACTTTGTATCCTCGGCCGCGTCGCCTTAAATCCAACACCGCTGAACCGTCGGTTAAAAAATTACTGCTCGGCGTTACTGTCCTCTGCCGTGGAACTTAGATTTTCAGGTTTCCTTTGGAAAACCTGCTGCGGTCGGTCAACACCTCCTCTCGCTAGGACAGCTTGACTGAATCCGCGCGCGGCTGACTGCAAACCGGCTGAAAGGGGGAGGGGGCGTTGACGTGAGCGCGCTTACGTGGAAGAATGTGTGCATTGATTAAATCAGGACTTAATCGATACCACTGTATCGCTGATATAATCAAGGATGGGTGGTCCCTGCTGTAAACGTAGCAGTCACCATACAGAACACTTAATGTTTTGTTTACAAATCACCACCTTGGTTTCTGTTAATTTAATCATCTCCCATTATTTTTTTCCTATCTGTATTGATCGCATGTATTTATTTATTAATTTATTATATTTGATTCATGATTGTAACATTAACAAAACGAAGACACCAACAGCACAGGCGAAAGGCTGAAACATGCTGAGCATCGTTTTTTTCAGTGCGTCTGTAAACCAGTTATTACGGTTGTGAGCTACAGACATCATGGCGGCCTCCATAGGGAGACTTATGTAGCAGGAGTTTGGTAATTTTCCTAAATGATCTTTGCCTTTCTGTTAGTCTCAGTTTCTGCTACAGAGAGTCTGAAATAAAAACAACAATACGCCTTCTCCCAAATAAACCGTAAGTACATTTCAAACCTGAGGGGAGAGTTTGTTGTGCATCCACACGTGCGCTGAGTAAACGAAGCCGTATTTAAACTGTTTACGTATTTGTACGTTGTGCTCTTACTAACAGGGAGCGAGGATGCGGTTTGATTCACAGCTGTACATGTTCAACGTAACAAATTTTTAAAATTAAATTAGATTTAGGGCCAAAATGCTTTGTTGATGCCAGAGGTCAGAGAAAGGCGTACTGTTTCCAGCTGGCAGGAAGGCAACAGTAACTCAAACAACTACTCCTTGCAGTCAGGTACACAGAAGAGCATCTCTCAGTGTGTATAACGTGGACCCTTAAAGCAGATGGGCTGCAGCAGCACAAAACCACACCTGGTGTTACTTTAGTCAGGAACAGGAAACTGAGGTCAAGTTTGGAATGAACCAGCTGATATTAATCTGCAATAAATGCCAGGATTATTTTCCAGTTACTGACAGATTTCAGCCGTTGTCATCATGGCATCTATGTTTTGATTTCTTTGGATGTGTGGATTGGATGGGTTGTTACTGAAATCTGGTGAGATTTTTTTTATGTCAAAATCACCTTTAGAAATATATTTACTTAGAAAGTTGGTGACATGTTCATTGCTTATTTTACCCACTGTAAACAACAAAGTTATTTTTCCAAGTTGAGAGTTGAAATAAAGCTGATGGGTCACAAAAGTAATGGAGTATCTAACAGGGATACACCATCATTTAACTTTTACTCTGACAGGTGTGCGTCTCACATGTTGAGAAAGAAACTTCCCTTCCTGCACAGTCTCCTCTCACCGGTTTCCAGACATGTCGGTCACCTCACCGGACATCAGTATGATGTCATCGTGGTGGGCGGGGGTCACGCAGGGACCGAGGCAGCGGCGGCAGCAGCCAGAGTTGGGGCTGAAACACTCCTCATCACGCAGAAAATTCACACCATCGGTGAGGATAAAGGGACACCTAAACAAAGAAGCTCTTTTTCCTCCAGCAGGGAAAACTAGACTTCTCTGATAATATTCCCACAGGTGCTCTGTCCTGTAACCCCTCCCTGGGAGGAGTAGGGAAGGGCCAGCTCGTGAAGGAGGTTGATGCTCTGGATGGGCTGTGTGGTCGGGCAGGGGACTGGGCTGGGATTCATTTCTCCATCCTGAATCGTAGAAAAGGGCCTGCCGTGTGGGGTCCGAGAGCCCAGCTGGACCGTCAGCGCTACCGAGACTTCATTCAGGTTAAGAAAAAAACCCAAAACTTGAATTACTCGTCCATTAAAGTAAAATATTTGTCTGCGAGTGAATTAAAATGTTTGTCTTCTACATATTTTTTTCTTCAGTCCGAGCTGCTGTCCACTCCCAGGCTGACCGTGGTGGAGGGCTCAGTGGAGGAGCTGTTGGTAACAGAACCAAACCCGGAGGAGCCCGGGCACCACAGAGTCACTGGGATACGTTTGGGTACACAGCAGATTACCTCTTTTAAGGACAAGGACCTAAATGGCAAACGGTACATATTATACACTGAATTTACTTTCTCATGTTTTTTGCACTTCCTGAACAACCAGCTAATGGCAGCCACGCCATCTCAGCCAGATCAGTGGTTCTTACCACTGGTACGTTCCTGTCTGGCTCCCTCTTTGTGGGTCAAACTACCTCCCCCGGGGGTCGGATTGGAGACGCTCCATCAAGCGCTGGGCTGTCCCATACGCTGAGGGAGAGGCTGGGGCTAAGGACAGGCAGACTGAGGACCGGTACCCCTCCCAGGATTGTGAAGGACTCAGTAGACCTGTCTTTGGCTAAGCTTCACCTCCCCGACAGTCACCCGACTCCTTTCAGCTTCCTCAATACCCACACCCACTGCAAGGTACAGCTGAATGAATGGACTTTTATTTTTTAACTCACTGTCTAGTTTATTGTTCCTCCTGCTTTATTTTGAAACGTAACCCTCTGTAGCCAGAAGAGCAGCTGCCTTGCTACCTCACCTTTACTACACCGGGTGTGGAGAGAGTGGTGAGGGAGAGCCTTCAACTAAACTGTCACATACAGCAAGACACCAAAGGTCCCAGGTACACACACACACACACACACACACACACACACACACACACACACACATACACATACACACAACACTTGGACTCAACGTTGAAACTCAGAAGGAATCACTTCAGTTATTCCATCATTTACTGCTCAATAATGCAAAATAAAGCATGTAGATTCGTTTTAACACGAAGGTTTTTGCAAAGAAAATGCCACAAAAACAAAAACATCAGTGTAACTGTGTATCATAAAATTTTTATGCAAAACTGAAACAATCGAGCTTAATTGGAATGACGTGCAGTCTTCGTCTCTAACAGGTACTGCCCCTCCATCGAGTCGAGAGTGCTGCGCTTTCCAGGCCGAAGCCACCAGGTGTGGCTGGAGCCCGAGGGCGTGACCTCTGACCTCCTGTATCCACAGGGTCTGTCCATGACAATGCCCCCTGACATACAGCTACGCCTCATCAGAGAAATCCCTCCCATGCGCAGAGCTGAGATCCACACGCCAGGTAGGTCTTTAGATCCTGTTTGATCTGCCTAGTAACAAGTGAGAGCAGTGACAGTTCCCTCAATTCTTCCCTAATTCTAAAAAAAATGGATTGACAGAAGTAAGCTGGTTTCCAGAACTGAAAGTCTAATGTTTGTTTTCTGGGATTTCCAGGTTATGGCGTGCAGTACGACTTTGTGTGTCCCACTCAGCTGAGCCCGGTGCTGCAGGTGAAGAGCACTCAAGGTCTGTTTCTGGCCGGTCAGATCAATGGAACCACGGGGTACGAGGAGGCTGCCGCACAGGTAGCTGCTTCTTTCCTTAAAGAACACACACGACACACACACACACACACACACACACACACACACACACACACCAGTCACATACACACACACACACACACACACACACAGCTGGAAGCAGCTTAGGAGCAACTGATTTTTCTTCTTCTATCTGAGCAGGGTTTGTGGGCGGGAGCAAACGCTGCCTGCTCGGCGCTCTCCATGCCCACAGTGACGCTGTCTCGAACAGAGAGCTATATTGGAGTTCTCATTGACGACCTGGTGAGTCGAGGTGTGACAGAGCCTTACCGCATGTTCACCAGCCGGGCCGAGTTTCGAACTTCTCTAAGGCCGGACAACGCCGACCTCCGCCTGACCCCGAAGGGTAGGTGTAGCGTCTCCACCGTGTCATTGTGCTTGCGTTTGTTTTGTTTTTTCCCCTTCTTTTACTCCTCTCATTACCTTTTGTTTCCCATCAGGCTTTGAGGAGGTGGGATGTGTGTCTTCCGTGCGCTACCAGGAGTCTTTAAGAGTGAGGAACAGCCTCCAGGATGCACTGACAGCCCTTCAGGCTCTCTTTCTGTCTACGTCGAGCTGGAAGAAGAAGCTTCCCAGTGTTCCCATCAGTGAGACCAAGAGCACCTTACTGACGTGAGCGATAGATATCTGCCAAGCTAATAATTTAATTTTTCATGTCACAACAGTTTAAAAATGTTTCCGGTTAATGTTTGTTTTTCAGTGGCTTAGATCTTCTTCAGTACAACGACGTGACCTTTGAAATGTTGGCATCTGCCTTCCCTGAGAGCCTTTCGTCTTTTATGGAATTCGCACAGAGACTTAAGATAGAAGGTAAGAAAAAAATAACCCCGCCTGAAATGTTAATCTACAATAAAACTCTTGCTAAAACGTTTCTCTTGTCTGTCACGCAGCTGTGTACAAGCCTCACTGCGACTTAAACAAGAAAGAGATCGAGAGAATTCAGAGGGAGGAGAACATGTCCCTGCCGCAGGACATTGACTATTTCTCTCTGCCGGTGTCGCTTTCCGACGAAGTTCGAGAGATCCTGGACAGAGTTCGACCGAGCACAGTGAGCCCACTCCTTTCAAAATAATAGTGTGAAATATTTATTTTAATAAAAGAGAAAAAATATGCACTGACTCTTCTGCTCTGTCCTCCAGCTGGGAGCTGCTACTCGCTTGGAAGGTATAACTCCCGCTGCAGTCGTCAATCTCCTCAACTATGTGCGCGTCACAGAGAAAAAGAAGGAAACGCACAGAAACCAGCGACAGCAGGAGGCGCAGAGAGATGAGCTGTGTGCAAACAGTGCCTCTTTACCGCAGTGATGCAGTCTAAAAATGACTCAAACTGTCTTGTGAAAATGTATTTATTTCTGAGAAATAACTGAAACAATAAATTAGGTATTTTAGAAAACTTTTCCTCGAGTTCCAGTGCTGCTCCAGTTACCCGTCAAGTTACCTGCAGAGGAATTCTAATCCTGTTAGTGACATGACTGTGAGCAGCATTAAACTCCATGTGACCTTCTCTGTGCTGCTGCTGTTCATAATAATGTGGCCGTCCAGCTCAGCAGAGCCTCTCGTGAAGAAGCCAAAAGGAAACTTCCAGAAAGGCTGAGGCAAACCCCTGGGGGGTTCTGGGTAGACTGTGCTGTCAGCGAACGTAACTCTGG